GGGCGCAGCACCGAGGGTTGCGATCCCGTTGCCGGTCCCGTTGCCGGTCCCGGTCCGGTACGGGCGCGACACTGAGGGTTGCGGTCCGTTGCCGGACATGAAAAAAAAGACAAAAAGGAAAAAAAAAATACCTTCACAGCAACATCTAGACTGGTGTTGATGGGCCCCACTGTCTAGCCAAATACGCACCAAAACGTAACCATCATATCACCTCTCTTCACTTGCTAGTCCTGGTTGTGGTCTTCTGCCACTCCTCCTTTCATTTTCCCTTAAGAACCTACTCCTCTTTCTCCAACCCATGACTCTTTCTCCAGTCCAGTCACTGGGCATTGTTTTTAGTCCAAGCTGAGTCACATTGCTTCTTGTTCCAGGCCACCTTCTGGTCCCATAGGAGGCCTTCCTGGGTTCATCTGCCTCAGAGAAAAGATATTTTCCCCAGTGTAAACCCTTTGGAACTTTCAGATTTCCTGTTATGTTTTATTCTCAGGTATTGGGAAGAATGTGGTTTGTGAGAAGGCAGCAACATCTGTGGATGCCTTCCGGATGGTGACAGCCTCACGCTACTACCCACAGCTGATGAGCCTGGTGGGGAATGTGCTGCGCTTCCTGCCTGCCTTCGTGCGCATGAAGCAGCTGATAGCAGAGCACTATGTGGGCGCAGTGATGATCTGCGACGCCCGTGTCTACTCGGGCAGCCTGCTCAGCCCCAGCTACGGCTGGATCTGTGATGAACTCATGGGTGGTGGGGGCCTACACACCATGGGCACCTACATTGTGGACCTGCTGACCCACCTGACCGGCCGGAGAGCTGAGAAAGTGCACGGGCTGCTCAAGACCTTTGTGAGGCAGAATGCTGCCATCCGCGGCATCCGGCATGTTACCAGTGATGACTTCTGTTTCTTCCAGATGCTCATGAGTGGGGGTGTGTGCAGCACTGTGACACTCAACTTCAACATGCCAGGTGCCTTTGTGCATGAGGTCATGGTGGTGGGCTCTGCGGGACGCCTTGTTGCCCGGGGAGCTGACCTCTACGGGCAGAAGAACTCTGCCACACAAGAGGAGCTGCTACTGAGGGACTCACTGGCCGTGGGCACAGGGCTACTTGAGCAGGGGCCCCAGGATGTCCCACTGCTCTACTTGAAGGGCATGGTCTACATGGTGCAGGCCTTGCGCCAATCCTTCCAGGGGCAGGGGGACCGCCGCACCTGGGACCACACCCCTGTCTCCATGGCCGCCTCATTTGAGGATGGGCTGTACATGCAGAGTGTGGTGGACGCCATCAAAAGGTCAAGCCGATCTGGGGAGTGGGAGACTGTGGAGGTTCTGATGGAGGAGCCCGACACCAACCAGAACCTGTGTGAGGCGCTTCAGCGAAATAACTTATGAGCCTGTGTTTGGGCTCGCTGCCACAGGGCAAAGGGACCAGGGAGGGGACCAGGAGCCATGATGGGGGGCTTGACTGTAGCAGAGAGAGAATGTCTTTCATTTAATGAGTCATCTGGGTTGGGGCTGTGTGAAGCCGAGGGCGGCCCTAGGAAAACGCCCCCTCCAATGGTTCATTTACCCCTCAGACTTGCAGGGCAATGGGCATTACTGGCCGTGGCACCGAGGGTTAGCAACGTGTGCAGGGCAGAGGTGCTGCTAGGTTATGCTAGTGAGGATTTATGGGCTCTTCTGCCTGACTTGTGGTCCTACCAGGATAAGAAAGCACAGGAAGCCAGCCTGGCTGATTCCTTAGGCCTGAGGAGAAATGACCAGAAGCCTTGTTTCCATGCCCTTTTTTGGGCTGGGTCATCTCAGGAATGGTGAGGGCAACAAATCATCCCTCAGGGATCCTCTCCTACCCTCCTACATGACCAGGCCCTTCTAGCCTCCATGCTGACCCTTCCCTAACGGGAAGTAGGGCCCTTCATTTATTAGGTGACCTTTCAGGGGCTATCTGACTTAGGGAAGAGGGCTCCTGATTTGGCAGACAGGAGACAAGGGAGTGCTTTAGGACATCTGATAAAAGTCAATAAATAAACCAGAAAATATGACATCATAGCATGTGTTTTTTGTTTGGTAGATTGGGTTTCTTTAATAATGAAAGGCTTGTTTACTGTTGTAGATTTTCTCTTTCTTTGCTGCCACACATCAGCTCTGAGCCACCTGTGGATCCATCATCATCTAAAGGGCCACACAGTCTCCTGCCACTGCCCACCCTCATCTCCCAGCTTATTCCCTCATGGCCCAATTCCAGGAGTCCTCAGAGAAAAGTATTTCCTCAGAGAGCAGGATTCAAGAATTCCTAACGGGCTCCTGTTGGGCCCGCCATTTCAGGCAGGTAGTGGGAGAGTTTGGGGCCTCTTCAGGCCCAGGAGAGCCCTCAGAGAGGGGAGGTGAGGAGTGATCTCAGGGAGTCTGGCTGGGATGAGCTTCAAGAGGAAGGGCCCCACTCACTGCCCCTTGGAGCAGGTTTGGCTGAACAGTGCCTGACCCAGATGGCAGTCACCAGTTATGCTTTTTATTAACTTCTGCATAGAGGAGCCTTTTAACCATGTCAGAGGTGGGGTGGGGTGATAAAAAAGGACACATGCCCTCCCCTACCTTTGTTTCCTTTGCCGGCCTGCCAGGATTGTTAAGCCTAGGCTAAACCCTGTTCCCTAGTCTAACCTTCTTTTCTTTTCCCCACCTTGGGTTCCTTGCCAGAAAGGCTCAAGGAGGGCTTCCTCTTCCTCTTGGCATCCTTTTTTTTAAAAAAAGATGACCAGTATGGGGATCTTAACCCTTGACTTGGTGGTGTCAGCACCATGCTCTCTGAAGTGAGCCAACCGGCCATCCCTATATAGGGATCTGAACCGTGGCCTTGGTGTTATCAGCACCGCACTCTCCCACATCAGCACCACACCCTCCCAAGTGAGCCACGGGCCGGCCATTGGCATCTCTTAAAGAAGTCACCAGGACTGTTTTCCTGTAGTGTCCTAGTTTCAAACATTGTCCTTGTGAGGTAAAATAACGAGAGTTAGCATTGGAGTGTGCTTATTGCATGCTGGGCCCCCCAGGATAAACACTTCATACATATTTCATTTAATCTCCAAACCACTCTATGAAGGTACTACTTTTAATATTCCCATTATTCAGATCAGAAAACTGAGGCACACGGGCAAAGTTACTTACCTCCTGTAAGTTGTAAGTGATGGAGCCAGCAACCTGGTCAGGACCATCTGACTACAGAGCCTGACCCTAAACCACACTTCATCCCAGCACTTGTGAATCTTTAGACTCTTCAATCCCAGGCATACCCCTCCCTGTCCCTTCCTGCAGCAGGAATCTCAGCCTGACCCGAACTAGGAGGTGAAGTGCAGAAAGAGCCCACCACCCGGCAGGATGCTGACAGTTAATGGAGATGCTGCTCCTTGTTCTTATGACTCTGTGTCAGTTCCTCTGTGTGTTACTAGGATGCTGTGGTCCCTCCTAGATTTGGGAATTGACCAAGAAAACACTAGCCTGACTCAGATACTCCTACATAAGAAAGAGCCATGTTGCCAACCCAGAGGGGCACTTGGGTTTTAGAGGACTCTACTGTTTACAGAGACAGGTGCACAGAAGTGCTGGGGAAGGTTGCAGCACTTAGTGAAGGACCCCAGGTCCTCTGAGGGCACCCCAGAGCCCAGGTCCATGGCCAGAGGAATGCATCATCCCCATCCCTCAGAAATGTTTACCATCATGGGCCGGCCCGTGGCTCACTCAGGAGAGTGCAGTGCTGATAACACCAAGGCCACGGGTTCGGATCCTACATAGGGATGGCTGGTTGGCTCACTGGGTGAGCGTGGTGCTGACAACACCAAGTCAAGGGTTAAGATCCCCTTACCAGTCATCTTTTTAAAAAAAAAAAGAGAAATCTTTACCATCATATCTCCTAGGCATCAGAGCTGGTCTGTCCCACATTGGGAATGAGGAGGAAAGATGCCTTGAAGTGACCCAGATGCCTGTAGCCCAGGGAGCTACTGGTTCTAGGCTTGTTCTGCAGCGCCCTCTCCTGGACGAAGGCAGCAGCATCTCCTGGGACCTGTTTCCGAAATCTCAAGATGCTTAGCAACTCTTCCTCCCATCAAATTTTTTCCAGGCCAGTGAAAATGCAGTTAGATTTTCCTCTCTGATACAGCAATCAGAAGAGCACTTCCTGGGCCGGCCCGGTGGCGCACTGGAGAGTGCGCCACTTGGGAGTGCGGCGGCGCTCCCGCCGAGGGTGCGGATCCCATGTGGAGACTGGTTCCCGCTCACTGGCTGAGCGCGGTGCGGGCGCAACACTGAGGGTTGCGATCCCGTTACCGGTCAGTAAAAAAAAAAAAAAGACAAGGGCCGGCCCGTGGCTCACTCGGGAGAGTGTGGTGCTGATAACACCAAGGCCGTGGGTTCGGATCCCATATAGGGATGGCCGGTTAGCTCATCAGGTGAGCATGGTGCTGACAACACCAAATCAAGGGTTAAGATCCCCTTACTGGTCATCTTTAAAAAAAAAAAAAAGAAGAGCACTTCCAAAATACCTGTTGCTTATTTTCCAACCTCCAACAAATCTAGGCTTGGTACTTGCTGAGACAGTGGCAGCTGCTTCCTCACCTCCCTGTCCCCAGACTTTCCCCGTTCTGCATGTCACACTGCTGCCCAAGCAACCTCTCCAAACTGTCGGGCCAAAATCCCTGCTTGTCCACTTCTTATTCCCCCCGGACTTGCCCAACCTGACCTGCTGATGGCCATGCCCTCTGCTTCAGCCATTCCAAGCAGCCCTCTTGCCCGAGGCTGGCATCTTCCACACTAGCAGGGATCCCTCGTATATCCTCTGCCTGGAAGGCACCAACTCTCTCCTTCAGTAATCAGCTGCAGGGCTGTCTCATTACCACTTCCCCCTAGGTGAAGTGGCAGTCACCCCCACCACCTGTGGTCCTGCAGCCTTCATCCTTAGTCAGACATGACTCCTTGATTGGCAACCTCAGCCTTTCCCCTTTAGAGTGAACTTCTAGGAGCAGTAGTGACTCATTCCTTTCTGTACCTTCTATCATGCACCCTTGTCTAAACAAGTCTATCAGGACTCTGCTTCCTCAGCCATCTTGAAGGGCCCTCTACCTTTGAAAAATGCTGAATAATCTGTGCTTATCCCTATGGACAAGATTCAGTCTGCATGGCCCCTGTGGACCGCTTGGGATGGTCTAATCACTACTCAGGGAAGTCCGTATGCAGAAAGAGGAATAAATGTCCTGAACCCACAGCTTGTCCTGTGGCCTTGCGATGGGGCCAGTGGGCATCAAAGTGACACCCCAAAGGAGGGAGCAGCCTGGGACAATGCCAGGAGAGGAGACCATGACCATTTTCATTCTGTTTCTTCCTCCTAGGCCTGCCCACCCACTCCCTCCAGTGACCCTGCCGGGCCATTATTCCAGGGACTATACACATGGCTGTGGACTTTGGATGGCCTCAGCCCTTCAGATTCTGGCCCGCCCCTCTCTGCAGCATCCTCCATCCCTCACCTCGGTCTCCTTATCCTGGTGCTTCTTATGAGGGCCCTCTGCTAGGTGGATGTGATGCAATGATGTGTGCCCCTGTGGAGGTCAGTCTAGTCCCAAAGATAGTGGTAGCCTACAGCGACAGTATGTGGATACTCCAATGCAGGACAACATTGGGTGCTGCCTGGTCAGCAGGATGTAGGGTGCCCTGAGGTTTTAAAGGGGTGTGTGTGTGCACTAGCCAGGTGGAGGGGTGAGAGAATAAAGGTGTTTAAGGCAAGGGAAGCCCCACATGCAGAGAGTGAAGGTAAGAAAAAGTGTGGCTGATTAGGCAATTACAGGAAGACACTGAAAAGTTCTAAGGTAGCTGTGGTAAGAGGAGCAGGATGCTAGAGGGGCAGTGACACCATCAGGAGTTCAGGTGGGTGTAGCAAGGGCCACTGGATGGATCGGTGGGCCACTGAACCACAGGCAGTGAGACTAGTCAGGCTCTTGCCTGGAGATGACAGTGGCCCAGGCAAAGGCGCTGACTGTGGGAGCTGAGAGGCTCTGGATCGGAGATTCACTGACTGTGATGCCTGATTAGCCTATTGGAGTCAGGAGCAAAGAACAGGGTGGGGTCTGGGGTGACACCCAGGATTTTGGTTTGAACAATTGCATAGATGAGATACAGGAGGAAAAGCGGGATGGAGGGAAGAGAAATTATCAATTTAATTCAGAATTCCCTATGTTCAGGGTGTCTTGAGGGACACACAGGAGGACCAGGAGGCAGCAGAATGTGAGTGTTTGCAAAACATCCAGCACTGGCCAGCGCTTCCCAGAGACCCCTGAGGGCTGGAATCAGCAGTCATCTGGTGGCTCCAGGGAGTACATTCACTGCCCCCACCACCCCCTGCCTGCTAGGGAGAAAGGAACTGACAACCTGTCACCAGGGGCCACCCACTGGGCAAGGTCTGGTCCAGCTGTGATCTGGCAATGAATGGAAAACATTCTAAACCTGCCACTTTTGGGGCAGGCAAATGAACTCTGCTACCTCAGGAGGGGATCCCAAGTGCTGGTCTCTTCAAAGTCAGACCAAATGCAGGCCCCTCCCCTGGGGAATAGGGAGCAGAGCCAACCATCTGCTTCCCATGACCTGACAGACCCTTTCTTTTCTCTGCCCCAAGTTCTTCCTCCTCACCTCTCCCTTCATCCCCCACTGTTAGCCTGTCTGGCCTTCAGATTCATCAGGGAGCCTTTAAATACACAGAACCTTCCTTCCCTTCTCATTCAATTAGGTATGGGATGGCACTCAGGAATCTGTAATTTGTTAAGGTCCAGCTGATCCAAATGACCAGTCAGGCTTTAAACCCTACACTGGTGAGTCCTCCACCCTTCTTCCTGGCATCTTTCCCAGTTCAGCCATTATATTTGGGGAACCACAAGTCTTAAAAAAGGAAAAATGTTTATTTTCAGTGAGACCAAGATGCCAAGTGGGAGCAGGGGCTAAAATTATCCCTCCACCTGAGGCCTTTGGCCTACAGCCTGCTGCCTTGGTTCAGGATTGCAGGAAGGGGAGCCACCAGTGGGGTGGGACAGTCACTTGTACTGAGGAGAGAGCGGGGGTACAAGTGGAGCCGCGCAGACACTCAGTATCTTGTTGATGTCCACCTGGGTTGACTTATCCATCTCAGCCTTGAGGCAGCCACTCACCCCCAAGCTGGGAAAAACCCCAGGCTCCTCTCCAGCCTCATCTCCTAGGGGATCCAGGGTAAAGGCGGTGGGGACTAACACATTGTGGCAGGTCAAAGCGAGGCCTGAGCCCAGCTCACCTGCCACGAGCAGCAAGGCCTGTAGTTGCTCCACACCTGCCTCCTCAGGAACCAGGGTCAGCTCCAACTCAGGCTGCACCTCAGCCTCAGCCTCTCTGTCCCCTTCCCCTCCCTGGTTCAGCTCAGGGTTGCCATAGTTGATATACTGGTACAGGGGCCGCAGGCGCTGGGCCTTTCCTGTAGGGACCCAGGGCAGGGGCTTGAGCACCAGGCTGTGCCACGTCGGGTCTAGCAGGCAGGGGGAGAAGGAAGGCCCAGGGGCGGCATGCCACTCACGCTCCAGCCCCAAGGTCTCTGAGGGTGCAGACACTGTGCTGGCCACAGCTGGGAGCATGGGAGCCCCCAGACTCTTGCGCTTCTTGGCTTTTTTGTGCTGTTTGGCAGACGGCGAGGGCTCACTGTGGCTACCCTCTGGCTCATCCCTCTGCAGTGGCAGCCCTGGTGTCACCTCAGCTTCGGCCCTAGGATGGACATGGTGGCTAGGCCCTGGGCGGCTAGGGGACCAGAGCCAGGAACAAGAGGCCTGAGGAGTCAGCCTCCGGTCCCTGGCTCCCCTGCCCTGAGCCTAGGGAATAGTACTACCTACCCACCACCATGGGGCTAGATTCTTGTCCCTTTCCTTGTCAGTGAGGCCCCAGGCCCTACAAGACCTTGAGGCTCCATCTCTCTCGGTGCTCCCTACGCCAGGGCTCTTGAAGAACAGAAAGGATGGAGAGTGATAGTAGTGGCAGGGGACAGGAATCTGCCTTGCAGGAGTACAGGATTTAGGAATCCTACTGGGGTGAGCCCCACCCCGCTAGCTCTGTATCTCCTTCCTCTGAAAGCCCCCTCACTTGATCAGCTTCCTCTTCGGACTGTGACTGGGCCTCACAATGGAGGCCATAGGCCTGGGGCCTCTCTCTAGTGCTTCCACCTCCGGCTTGTGCCTCTCTTCCCCCAGCTTGAGTCCTTCCTCCTGGAGTTCTGGTTCTGAGGCATGTCCTGGTAGACACTTGTCTTCACCCTGGCTCCGGCAGGCCTCCTGGGCTGGCACCAGGCACTGGTCTCCCATCACTGGACACTAGAGGTGACACACAGGAAATTAGTCACCATGGCCAAGAAAAGGATATAGGGATCAGTAACTGGATGCTCAACATTAGACACCAAATACGGGATAAAGGGTACCAGCCCGTGCCCTCCCCACTTGTAGAGCTTAGCCTGGCAATTGGAGGGTCTGGTCGCTCAGTGTTCGGCCCCCTAGAGCGCCGCGGCCAAGTGTTTGAAGGCTACACATACTGACCGTCACCTCAGAACTCTGAGCGCGGCCACCGGGCGCCTCCGTGAGCTGTGCCAGCCCAACGGCCGTCCCCTCCTGGGCCCCTGGTTGCCTCTCGGCCCCTACTGAAGCCATGGCTGAGCGGGGTCAACAGATCCTCGACGGTGGCTTGTGGGGGAAGGGTGACCCGAGGGAGTGGACTGGTGGACCCTGTGCTGACTCAGGAGACTGGCCGGGAGGCGAGGGCCGAGCTGGGAAGGGAGATTGCGCAGCTCCAGCAACCCTCAGCTGGAACTACAAGCCCTAGAAGGCTTTGCGCCAGGGCCATGACCCCTGACCTCGGGGACGGAAGCTATTGTTGCTTGGCAACAGCAACTCCCGTCGGGTTGCAGGAGCTGGCGGCAAAACTTCTCGAGTGAGCCCGTGCCTGGGTATTGCGGGGGAAGGGCCGCGAACCGGTCAGGGAAGTGGGCTGAGGGAGGTCGCGGAGGCGTCGAGCGCAGGCCGGGAACCGGGGCGCGGCGGGGGACCCGGAGGGCCGGGAGTGGAGGGTAGGGTCAGTGTCCGGGTCGAGGTAGGAGGCGCGAGGCTGGGGAAGAGGGTTCGGGCAGGAATGCGCAGCCCAGCGGGCCTCCGTGCACCGTTGCAGCGCGGTGACGGCGGCATGTGCGAGGGCCCGTCCCGCATCTCCGGGCCCATCCCCCCAGACCCTACTCTGTGTCCTGACTACTACCGGCGGCCGGCCTCAGGTGGGTTGCGGGTGCTGCGGGGGACTAAGCCTGAGGGTCCGCCCCCACTCCACCACTGAGCCCCACACTCCTCCCCGTCCCGCCCTTCAGCCCAAGGGCGCCTTGAGGGAAACGCGCTGAAGCTGGACCTGCTGACCTCGGACCGGGACCTAGATGCCACTGCTTCCCGTGGCCCCTGCATCAGTTCTGGAGCCAGAGAGATACTGGAGCGTGGCTGGCGTGGCGTGGGGGGCGTATTGCTGCAACTCGAAGGGATCTCCCTAGGTCCAGGGGCCTCTCCCAAGAGTAAGTGCTGGGAAGAAGGGGCAGCGAGGCAGACGGAGGCCAAAGGCTGAAATCAACAGCGGCTACTCCTCCTTCCCGGATCTGGGCTCAGACTTTGCCCCTCTGAGTCTCAGTTTCCCCATCCATAAAAGGAGAGGGGAATGCACTACCTCCTGGCAGGAGGCGACTGAATGAGGTAGTCCCCACGAAACCCTAGCTCAAGCTTCATGCATTCATGCATCAGTGTAACGTTGTTTATGGAGTGCCTACTGTGTGCCAGGCCGTACAGGTGCTAGGAAAATGCTTGAAGGCAAGCATAGACCTTCATCGAGTCAAGGTGGGAGACAATAAACAAAGGAAGAGATGAATATAATATACGAGATGATTGATGGTATACTTCACTATAGAAATGTAGAAAATAATCAGATATTTACTATGTAAGGAAGAGAACAAGGTAATGAGGTAGAGTATGTGTAGGGTCTAACTTAGACGGAGAGGTCAGGGAGACCTTCCTGTGGAGGGCAGGGTGTGGGCCTGTGTGTGAACTAGTGTAAGTTTGATTGCATGGGCCATATGTAGGGCAAAGCGTGGCAGCATCTTTTCCTCAGGGAAGAACCCTAAAGACCATGAGAAGGAGAACCTGAGGCGGATCAGGGAGATCCAGAGGCGCTTCCAAGAGCAGGAGCACGGCCGCCAGGAACAGGGCCAACCCAGGCCCCTGAAGGCTCTGTGGCGCTCACCCAAATATGACAAGGTGCAGTCCCGGGTCAAGGCCCAGTTGCAGGTATCTGCCTCAAGGAGCCAGAAGTATTGTCCATCTTGTTGGCCAACTCTAATCTGAGTTATGGGGAGGGAGGAAAATCATAGGGGAAGTAGGTAACAGAGGATTGAGGGACACCTGGCTCTGCTGCAGGGTGGGATTAGGGGCCTTCTCAGAAGTGGTGATGGCTGGGCTGATCCTGGTAGATAAATAGGAATTAGGCAAGGGGAGAGTGGAAGAGAACATTCCAGAGAGGGAACCTCACAGGTAGATGTCCCAAGACCAGAGGGGATGTGGACAGTGGGGATGCTACTAGGGACAGTTCACTGTGAGGGAAGAAAAGTACGAGGTTAGGTCAAGAAGTCAGCTGGACCCACATCATAAGGAGCGACATAAGCCACTTTTCAACCTTTATTTCTGAGAACAGTGGGAAGGGCAGGGGCAGGGGTATGGTAGTGGGGTTCTGTCTTGGGTATATAGTGGCACCATTCTTCTATCCATGGACTCAGAAGGAGGAACAGGATTGAGAGAAAAGACAAGGTCACACATGGACATGTTGAGGCAGAAGCATTTGTGGGACTCCCAGGGGGTGAGAGTATGTCCAGGAAGCAGATGGATATTCAGGTCTGGATCTCAGGAGTGAGACCCAGAAATTATTGATGATCAGGTTGAGCACAATGAGACCAAGGAAGTGACCCCCTGGGTTTGGGGGCTTGGAGGCTAGCCAACAGTGACCTTGGGGGGTCTAGAGCCAGGAAGCTTGGCTAGGAAGAAGAGAGTGGTAGCTAGACCAGGACTGAGGTAGGAGAGGTGGTTTGTCGTTTTCTTTTGTTTGTCATTTTCTTAAAGAGTGAAAGACTCACACATATTTAAATGTTGATGAGAAGTGCTCCTTTAAGAGAGAGGAGGCCCATAGAGATGGTGACAGAATGGTCCTGAGGAGCTGGAGGGACAGAGGCATGGTTTTGTGGCTTGAGACCCTGACTTCAGCCTGACTGATCCTTCTGCTATGCCCTGCCTTCCAGGAACGTGGTCCTGCCTCTGGGACAGAGCCTGCCCACTTCCTGCGGGCGCACTCCCGCTGTGGCCCTGGGCTCCCTCCGCCCCGTGTCCCTAGTCCCCAACTGACCCCACCAGGTCCCAAAGCTAAGGTGAGAGGATGTGTGGGACTGGAAGGTGGTTGGAAAGGGATCCTGGGAGGGAGTGCAGGGGCACAACACAGTGCTGTCTGCCCCTATCATGCTTGCCATGTCTTGCAGGCGCCAGGCCTAGGTGTGGACTTCATTAGTCACAATGCCCAAGCTGCCAAGAGGGCGCCCCGGCGGCATTCTCGCTCACTGCAGGTCCTGGCACAGGTGCTGGAGCAGCAACGGCAAGCCCAGGAGCACTACAATGCCACACAGAAGGGACATGTGCCCCATTAGTAGGTCTTATTGTTCATCATCCAGGGTGAGGGATGTCTGTGGAGGGTGGGAGCAATCGCTGCCCAGGGTCATCAACCCTGAGCCTGTGCATCCACAGCTTGTTGGAGCGCAGGGATCTGTGGCGGCGGGAGGCTGAGGCCCGCCAGCATAGCCAGCCAGATCCTGCCGTGCCCCCTGGCCACACTTGCATGCCTGAGGACCAGCGGCTGGAGACACTGAGCAATCTGCTCCAGAGTGAGTACTTGGGTAAGGGAGTCTGGATGGGGAGCCCACTGGGGACCATGCACCCCTGCTCAGCAATCACTGTTCCTGGTCCCCCTATAGGCCAGAGCCAGCTGCTCCGTGAGCTGGTGCTGCTGCCTGCTGGGGCAGACTCACTAAGAGCCCAGGGCCACCGTGCTGAGCTGGACCGGAAGCTGGTACAGGTAGAAGAGGCCATCAAGATCTTTTCCCGACCCAAAGTCTTCGTGAAGATGGATGCCTGAGCCCCTTTGTGGGGGTAGGGCAGGGAGGTCCATGCTGAGGATCGCCACATGGCTGCAAAGGGCAGGGTCAGGCCCCATCTTTAATTGGAGGTCTAAAGATAGGAGTTGTGAGGTGGGCAGTATCCCTAGAGCATTCTTCCCAGCCACCAGGTGCTGCAGAAATGCCATCCCAGCCTTTTAACCCCTTTATCAAAATTAAACCTATTGTACACAGTGGAGTTTGTTTTCATAAGAGGTTTTCTTACCCTAGAAATGCCAAGCCCGGTGGCCCTCCTGCTGCTTGACTGCAGGAAGCTCTCCTGCTGCCCTTATTATTCCTGTTTTGTTCAGGGCACAAGGCAAGCTGTGAGATCAGGGAGAAGGCTGGGGCTGGGACACAGAAGGACCATGACTGCATCTGTAGAAAACCTTTAATGTTCCCCAGGCTGAGAGGGCCCTGTGAGCAAGCTGAAACCGCCACTGGGAAGTCCTTGCCATGTCCCTAGAGTGGTAAGGGGCTGCATCCTTGCCTGTCAGAGGCTGAAGCCACTACCATCTCCTCGGATGCTACTCCCCCAGCCAGAGCTGGCCTGCTCCTGGTTATCCAGGGAGGGCAGAGAGGTGCGGGCAGCAGAAAGTAGGCAGCCAGGGTGTAGGTCCCAGCATGGAGGCCCCTGGGACAGCCCATTAGAACAGGAAGGCTGGCGGTTCTCAATGACCAGGTCACTGCTGTCTTCATCGCTATCAGGCTCAGCAGTCCCAGGCCCTGCAGAGGGAGGCCCTGTCAGATGCCCAGACACCCCACGCACCACATTATTGCGCTGGTTGGCGGGCTTGACAGTGACGATGAGGTTATGGCTGTTGGCAACCATCATGTCTGTCACTTGGTCCAAAGTCTTCCCAGCCACCTCGATGCCATTGACCTCGAGGATCTCATCACTGACCGCCAGCAGCCCTGTACTCTCAGCCAGGCCTCCACGCACCAGGCGGGAAATGAAAATGCCTGGAACCCTCTCCAGGCCCTGGGGAGCCACGCGCACACTCATGCCATCTCGGATGTAGAAGCCCAGGGGGCGGTCTGAACCGTGCTTGTGCAGACGGACCCGTCGGTGGGTCTCAGGCAGTAGGTCCACATCTATGACTGAGGACACCTGGCGGAAGTCTTGGGGCAGGCTGATAAACAGGGGTGGCCGGGTGCGCAGGGGTGCCACTGGCCGCAGCAGGAGCCCTTTCTTGCGCCGTTGCAGAGAGTTGGAGGCAAAAGCCAGGCCGCTGGAGTCAGCTTCTGCTGCAGGAGAGGGGGGGTGGTGCTGAGATCAGAGACCCTGCTCTCCCACTTGGGCCCTTTACAGGGGGCACTGTATTTCCTACCACTTAGAGGTCAGGAGAAGGTCAGGGACTGCAGAGGGTGAAGCCTGGACGCCCTGGGCATGGACTAACCCTTGTAGACCTGCCCCATCACCTTACCCCACAGAGGCTGCCCACTGTACCCCATCCTCCTCACCCCGCTTCTGCACCAGTAGGCGCAGTGGCGGAGGCCCGCTGGTCAGGGCCCGGTGCAGGCTATCGTCGTTGGTGAGGGGCAGCAGGTCGCCGTGAGCATCCGTATAGCCAAGCAGCACGTCCAGGCCTGGAATCTGGTGCACCGCACGCAGCAACCGCGAGAACTCCTGGAAGCCGCTCACCGAAGCGCGGGGCAGTGCGAAACGTCGGAACTCAGCGTCAAACTGGAGACCGGGGGTGGGGGGATAAAAAAAGGTCAGGGCGGAGCCTGCGCCCCTTTCTCACCACAGGTCCGAGGCTGGTAGGGATAGGAAAGAAAGGGCTGCCGCAAAAGCTACAGCCTTAAGCCCAGACCTCAGCTCCAGTGCAAGGGACGCTGTCCAAGGTCTTTTCCCCGCCCTCCAGGTACCCAGGGCACAGAGGGACTCTGGAAGCTAGCAGTAGAAGGAAGGAAGATGGATAGGGGAAGGCGAGCAGAAAAGCAGAATGGGAAGCGGAAGATGGAGGAGAGAAAGAGATGATGGGGACCAAGGAGCCGGGAAGGGAGAAAGAGGGAATTGGGAGTGCCTAAGGCCGAGGCCGGGGCCGGAGGTGCCCTTACTTTGCTTTTCACCTCGACGATGCTATCGGGACTGCGCGCCGGAGTCCTCTGCTGCCTGGCCATGGCGGGGCTGGGCGGGCCGGGGACGGTGCCCCAAGCGGCCCGCCGAAGCGCAGGTGCACAGTCCGGCCGGCACGCCCGCGCCTCCCCGCCCCTGGCTGTAGCACTCGCCCCGCCCTACCATCCGGACCATGACGTCAAGGGGGCGGTGATGGAGAGTGGAACGCGGAGTCCATGTTTCCTAGGAAACGGAGGTGTGGGTGAAGAGTCGTCCTCTGTTTTGACGTCATTACGCTAGGTCCGCGCGTCCCGGGAGCCGAGGGAGGGGGCTCGGCCAATCCGAGGGGAGAGTGAGGGAAGTGACATTTATCGAGGGCTGTGTACTTGTTATTTCCACTGGGCTTACAAGACTGCGCATTTTGTAGATAAAGAAACTGAGTCATAATAAAATTTGCTGAACCCCTCGGGGATCACACGGGGCTGAAGTGGCATCGCGCCAACCTGCTCGGACCACCCTCACAAGAGCCTGCGGCCCCGGATTCCTCTCCATCCGGGTCAGCCCTTGGTTCTTTCCTTTCAGGTATTATAGGAGTCTTTACCAACGGTCAAACGCCGGGCCGCTGCTCGGAGAAATGCCCCGATAAGAGTAAACGGGCCGTTGGGGCCGGCCCGGTGGCGCACTGCTATAGTGCGCCGCTTGAGAAGCGCGGCGGCGCTCCCGCGAGGGTTCGGATCCCACATACAGACCTGTTCCCGCTCACTGGCTGAGCGAGGCGCGGGAGCAACACCGAGGGTTGCGATCCCGTTGCCGGGACGGTCCGGTACGGGGGCGACACTGAGGGTTGCGATCC